GCGTAAGAGAGCTGACGGTAGGTGTCTTTCTTGCGCTTGTACCCGATAACTCGAAGGAGCAGTCGGTGGTGTATCGACCGCAGCGTCTGATAGTGGCGGCTGAGTGGTGACCATGTCATGCAACCGTACAGCAGTGCCTCCATCGCCTCCGCCTGGAGCAGGCGGATCTTGAGTCGGAATGGTGCTTTCGGTCTGCCGAAGAGTTCCCGGCCATATCGCCTGAGGTACGCCCACGCTCCTCTGCTCCTGTAGTTGATCTCCGGGGTGAGGTCGCCATGTTCGTTGACGAGGCCACCGAGGTACCGGAACTCGGTCGTCTGGGCGTATTTCTGTCCCGCGGCTTCGATGGTCAGTGGTGGAGGCGGTCCGGGCTGTGATGTTGTAGTCGGCTTGTCCTTTGCGCGCATCAGGAGCGTCTCCGTCTTCTTCTCCGACACCGTTAGCCCGAACTCCCCGAACACCTCAACGATGATGGCCGTCATTCTCGCCAGTCCTTCTGCAGACCTCGATACGACGCCGGCATCATCGGCATACAGCATCCCCCATACTTCCCTCCGTACTCGGTCAAGGGGTGTCTCCTTCCGCCCCCCCGCTTCTGTCTTCCCCTCCTCCAAGCACACCAGGCTCCGCAGAACAACATCATCCTCGCTGAATCGGATGACAACGACCTCGAGGACCTCGGCGAAGAAGTTGTTGAACAGCAGTGGGGATAGCACACATCCTTGTCGCACGCCCTGTGTCACGAAGAACCAGTCCGATAGTTCTCCGTCGGCCATGCGCACCCGGGCCCGCATTCCATCGTGGAATTGACGGATGACTTCGATCAGCTTCGCGGGAATCCCGGCCCTGGCCAGCACCTTCCATAGCATCTCTCGGTCCACCGAATTATACGCCTTCAAGTCAAGTCGACAAAGCACATGTAGAGCGGTATTTTCTTTCTCCGCCCCAGCTCCTGGAGGCGGCGCACGACGAATAGCATGTCCACGGTGGATCGCCCTGTCGAAATCCGCACTGTTCCTCCGGGAGGATGATTTTGGCTTCGCAGAAGGCGCTTAGACGGTTGGTGATGATCTTAATGGGGACCTTGCCTACGTGAGATAGTAGCGAAATCCCCCTGTAGTTGTTACAGTTGGACCGGTCACCCTTCTTGTACAGCACCTTGATGGTTGCATCCTTCCACTCTCGCGGAATATTTTCTCCGTTCCACACCTTGACGAGGATGGTATGGAGGTGTCCCAGGACGAAGGGTTCGTCGTCATCGATCTTGAGCAACTCGGCAGGGAGGGAGTCATGGCCGGGTGCCTTCCAGTTCTTGAGGCCTTTCGTTGCCCGTGCCACCTCCTCGAGTTCTGGCACATCTCCCAACCGTTGAGTGTCACGTGTCGCTGGCCGCTGCGTCACTCGTTCGATGATGTCTGGGTTCAGGGCGGGGGATTTGGTGTTGAGCAGGGTGCTGAAGAATTTCGCCCACCGCTGGAGGATCTCGTCCCTGTTCTGGAGCAACACGCCGTTCTCATCCGCGACGAACTACTGTCCCCCCGCTTGTCTCCCGCTGAGGCCCACTGATCTCTTGAGGTATTGGTACAGTCCTCGCGTGTCGCGATCTTTGTAGATTGCTTCGAGTTCAGTCACATATCCGTCCAGGTGGGCATTAATGCCCGTTTCGACTGCTGTAGCCACTCCCGTACACGCTGCTTTGAGAACCCTCCACGTTGCTGAGTTCCAGTTGCCCCTCATTGCCCGGCGCGCTTCCCGACATTTGGTAAGAGCCTGCTCCAGCGCTGCTCGCGTCTCTGGCGTCTCACACCACTCCTGCGTGCGGCGTCTACGCGGTTCCTCCCCCAGGGCCGTTCGCGCTGCTTCGAGGAGAGCATTGGTAAAGTCGGTCGCCAATTCTGCGGCGGTGGTTGTTCGCTCGTCCAGTCGTGTGTCGAGGTTGAGGAGGAACAGATTAGTCACCGCACACCGTGCTGCTTCGAACTGCAATTCCCGTCGGTTGAATTGCTTCTGTTTCGGTTTAGTCCGGACTGCACGGTTGTGGGCAAGCCTGCCACTGAGGTTGACGGTGGCTACTACCATAATGTGGTCTGAGTCTGCTTTGACTAGGCAAACCGGCTGGGGGGTGACAACCACGTTAGATACTCAGCCGTGATGTGCCTGCCTTGTCAGGATGTAGTCAAGGCGCTTGCAATCGTTTCCCGACACACCGTTGTATGTGTGCCGTATTCCGCCCTTGCGTGTCTCAAAGGACGTATTTGTGAGAGCTAGCGTGTTTTCCGTTGCGAAATTCAACAGTAGCGTGTGTGCACAGAGGAAAGAGAGTGCTGAACTCTTCTCGCGTTAAGAATCGAAGGCAAAGTACCGCAGGAGGGGAGAGTAGCAAGGGGTTCTTCTGTATGACCACGGGTTGGAGTAAACGGCACTAGCAGTGAGCACGTACTCGACCGAGCGGCAATGGCGGAGTTGGGCGCGTGAAACACCCCATTTGACCCACATGCTGCTTAGACTAGTCTATGTTGCGAATGTAAAGGGAGAAGATTGGGACGTACACCATCCTGGTGTCGAATTCGCGTGTAACAATTCCTTCGGCGGTGCGTCCGGACTGAATGAACTGGGAGGTGTGCCTAAACTAATGATGACCTTGTTGACAACGTTTAAAATCAAGTTCAAGTCACTGCATACTCCGCGCTAGCCCGCGACCAGCTCGAACACTGCATCCTTGCCGCTGATGAGCAACATTGCTCCTATGAACTGCAGTGTATGAACAACACGCTCTCGATTTTCGCGCGTGGGACAACGGGGGAACTCGAAACAATCTGTCTGTATGATGCCTCGCACTACACACAGATAACACTGACAATTGCCCGGTCAATGCTACCGGTTGGGGATTCACCAGCGGTTGTTGGGTATGGGCCTACAGTTCTGCGGAGTGGCCCCAACATTCGCAACGGTTCCAGACAAAGTAGTTCCGGAGGCCCGAAGGGATACCCAGGAACTGCCTACAATCTGAACTGGTCCATATTAATCCTCCAAGTCGGTCCTGTGCGACAAGCCTACAGACCGGTCGCCCCGGTGGTCTATTGGGTAACCTCGCAGCCTGCTAAGGGCCAGGTCATGGGTTCGAGTCCCGGCAGAGTGAATTTTTTCTCACTAAATAAATCCTGGTCTAGGATGAAAGCGACGCGTTGCAAAGCTCGTTGTTAGTAAACCATAATCGACATCGTAAGTCGCGAGGGAAGAGATTGCTGTACCCTTCTCGCGATGAAAATACCTCAGGTAGGAACCGCAGGAGAGGGTCCAGCACCCCTCTCCTATGTGACCCCGGTTGGGTCGTCTAGCTAGCAGAAGTGGAGGATAGGGGCCAGAGGGGCAGACGACAGAGTTCCAATGATGGGAGAAAAAAAAAAGAAGGTGGGGCGCCCTGTTTCGTTGATTGTTCCATGTGTCCGTGGAAGTTGTGTCGTTCCCATGAAGTGCCCCCCATGGATTGCCCCCATGGGCAGTTTGTGGAACAAGAAATGCTCATGAGCAGCCCATGGACTTAGCAATTTTACCCGATCATGACGAAATGCCCATGGGAATATCGTGTTCCATGGAGCGAACCGTCGCATAGTTATGTGCTGCCTATCGAGAGGCGACAATTCCCTCTAGTTTGCCCACGACGGGGGGCCACAATAAGATCCAAATTACGCATCAAGGGCATCCATTCCTCAGATGGATGGGCGATGGGCAGCGCCCACATCGGATGCTCACCATATGAGTTCACCATCGGCGTATACCCACCATGTCATGCCTGCCATGTACCTGGTATGGGCGACTACGGAATCATGCCCATGGAATGCCCACGGTGGACATAAATTCCACCATGGGCAACCCCGTAGAATGCAGCACCACATGGGCCGCGCATTTTCATCGATTTACTTTATGATGTGTTGAGAATGACGCATCATTCAGTCTGCCCCGGGCTACAATAGTTCGCTTGGATGAAAAAGTCAAGATTCACTGGTGTCCGGCGTGTAATGTGTGGTTTTAGGCCTGCCTGCCAATCGAAACAAGGCTGCGATGATTCTGCGTGTGTGTTCGGCGGTAGCACGCTATCGTAGCAAGGCCACAGATGTTCGTCGGTGGGGGCGGCGGGGGCAGTAGACTAGCTCTGAACATGCGTCCACCGGGTGAATACTGTAGGAGGGCGGACGAAAGCGATCGTGTTTGCGCGACGAAGAGCTGCCCGAAAGGATTCATCCCCCAACAGAGTCCGTGAATTTGACCACGGAAAATGACTGGCACAACCTGCGTTTTGAACGCTGTGCATTTAATGCTGCGGTGTAGCCATTCAGAAATCGACCTATGGTCAGTGATATTTCACCTCACCCATTTTTCATGAGAGGAGGTGGTTCTCAGTGCGTGCTCCCGTGAGTTCTCCCAAAATTGCGACTGACTGTCGATTCCGCTTAGAAGCGCAAAAAAATTGGCCGTCGATTTTGCGCTTCGGTTGAACTCGAAATGCAACGAGGGCAGCATAATGCGAAGTGGGTGCTTCAATTTATTATTGTAGTTTCGGACCCACTTTCACTTTCACAGGGAGGGCCAAAGGGCCGTTTAATTGTTGTCATTCGGCGAGTTGCGCATCCTTGCTTTCGTTTTCAATCTTCGGGTACGCTCGCTTTGGCCCCACCATTTTTTCTGTGAAAGTAGTAGTCTAGAAGCCAAATTCACCAATACCGTTTTGATAATCAGCTCCTACTACATGGTCTTCTAATGGTTTGAGTTCGGCTTCTAGAAAAAAGTTAGTTGTGGGTTTGATACCCAGCCAGGGACTTTGAAATGTTTTTTTCCTCCCTGTGGATACTCCTGGCCAAAGCATGGGCGACGGAAGGACTCGTCTAAGACCCTGGTGTTCTGCAGGGTGTGGGTGGCGAGTGATGATATGAAACGAAGTGAAGATTGGACGGATCGTAGCGCTGGCAAGGGAGGTCGCCTTCTTCGGAAAGTGAAAGTGCCGGGGCTCACGAACCCCACGATTAAGTAATCGTGAAACATTATTAATGGGCGCCGACACCAACCCATTGGACGAGTCATTGGACGAGTCAGCACCGATAATCTATATGTAGTCTATCTATCGAATAAACAATGGTTTGATTTCGGATCCTATTAAGCTCCGTATGGGCAGCTCGTGGAAGTGTCCGCGACAAGAACATTCCATATAATAACATGCTGTCGGGGTAACCCATGATGGGGCATTTGTTGTTTGATCGCTCATCATCCATGATGAGCTGCCCACTTTTGGGCAGTTCATACACACAAAGTAGTGGGTTCGGATTGTGCTGTGCCCATGGGCAGCCCAATAAAAGCTCACTTGTAAGCCGTGCCGTTCTCTCCGCCCGTACTACTAGGCTAACACTTGACGGGGTCGATTCCCCGCGTGGTCACAGGGTCACTTTTACCCCCTCAAAAAGGTAAATGAAATGAAATGGACCCAAAGAGGGTCCGCAAGGCCCGAGTAAGCTTCGGAAAGAGAAACGTAGATAGATGTTCTTATCAACTGACTCCCTGGTCAGGCTTTGATGGGTACTAGATGAGAGTGAGCACAAGGGGCGCAGGCGCGCTTGTGCCTCAGCCCAACAACAAAATAAAAAACAAGCAGCAAACACAGCAGGTTCCGAGGGTCTCCGGGGTGATGGCCCGAGTACCGGAATTTTGGGGTCCGGAACAAAAAAACGACAACAGTCTCGCCTGCCAAATTATCTCCTCTACAACTCTGTGCTCACGTTCTCTGCTAAGTACCATCTCTTCTTTCTGTATTATGTCTGAGGAAGGCTAGTTGCCGCAGTCGCACCTATGGTAAACTGTGCCTGACTACGTCGTAACAGTTTTCCTCGACACGACCCCTCGATTAGGCAAGTAGCCGATGTTCCAAAACTTCACTTCGCTGCCATTTTTTCGACCCCTCGATTCCCAATCCGTATAAAAAAATATCGACCTCCACATGAGTGAATCCATCCTGTGAGCAATACACGCGTTCAAAACATTCAACCATGCTATGCGATCTTGTGCTTAATATCTTCTAGCACTTGTAGTCCTTGATGAGTTGCATGATGGTGGCGAATCGCTGCTTCGGGAGATGTTTCGTCGCGATGTCCGCCAACATCGTGGCACTAGGTTGGTGGTGAAGAGTGATCCGGTGCCCCTTCGTGAGTTCCCTGAGGAAGAAGAATCGGAGCGCGATGTGCTTGGTGCTGAACATCGCGTGGCTGGCCGCAGTCGNACTAGGTTGGTGGTGAAGAGTGATCCGGTGCCCCTTCGTGAGTTCCCTGAGGAAGAAGAACCGGAGCGCGATGTGCTTGGTTCTAGAGCTGAACATCGCGTTGCTGGCCACAGTCAATGCTCCGGTGCTGTCGCTGTTGATGGGTACCGATCGAAAGGTCTTGAATCCGATTTCCGTCATGAAGTTGGAGATGTAGACTGCCTCGCGAGCACTGAAGCTCAGCGCTTGAAGCTCGGCCTCCACGGTGTTCTGTGCTGCGAGAGTCTGTGCCTTGGCTCCGTAGCTGATCAGCCCCCCTCCTAGGAAGAACAGGTATCCGGTGGTAGACTTGTCGTT